CTAATCTTTTCCTTATTATACCTGTTCTCTCAGCAGTTGGATCTTTATGATTCGATCTGGATTGTCCATTCCCTTTTAACTCTCCTCAATCCGATCTCCTAAGCGGTCCAATCTGGATCGTCAATTCTCCTAATTTCCTTTGCCTCCTTCTACTTCTCCTTATTTATGTTTTTGCTATGTTTTTTCTTACCCACTTTCATTTAGGTTCCTTAAATTAATTAAAAGTTTCTAATTTTAAAAATTCATTTCATTTACATCCAAACTTCAATTTTATTTATTTATTTTATATTTTTTTTTCCTCAAGTGTATATTACAATTATTTCTGTATTAAATAAATTTTTACATTAAATCTTATATGACATTCAAGGTATGAAAAAAAATATTTTGATTTTTAATTATTTTTAAATATAATAAAATTTTAAAAATTAAAAACGTAATTTATTAACTGTAGAAGGAGAAGAATTTTTTAATTGTACGTAAAAATATATTTAATTATAGATACTTACATATTTAGTTCGTTGCTACAAAACAAATCTTCATCTCCCTTTTCATCTTACGCCTGCATTCGTCTCGTTCTTCAGATTTTATACTGATAACATTTTTAAACATATGTTCTTCTCACCTTTGCATGTCTGAACTTGAAACTTGCAGTACTTAACAATTCACTTAACTATTCAACTCAGTAGTAGTTGATAAAATAAAATATGATTTAAAATAATATTTAAATATAATACTTAATAAAATAACAATGTAAGTATATAACAATAAAATATTTTTTTAATTAAAATTTAATTAATTTGAATAGAATTAAAAATAAAATTAAAAATTTATTAATAATACATGTAATAAAACTCATTTCAATATGCATTTTTTAATTAAAAATTTTAATTTGAAATATGAGGTTAAAGACTAGATTTTGCAGGGATGGAGGAATCAATTGAAGATAGTGTAGGCAAATGATTCAAGTGATGGAAAGTTCCGAAAATATAGTGCCTCATCTTATCTTATGAATTATTTACAACAAGAGACGTATAGAATATTTAAATTAAAAGTGTAAGAGGTTACAGATAGTATCAGAAAATACTGTTTCTAGGACACTACTAGATACATGAAACATAGATTTCATAAGGTTAAGGATTAAAAGAAGTTAGACAAGGGTTGGTTATAGGAAATGAAGGCACTGCATTTTGAAGTCCTAAGATAGGACTTACATATATCAGAATTTGACAAGTTTAGAATAAAAAATATCTGGCTTCACTCCAGAACGATGAATAAGACATAACTGATACATACATATATATACACGAATAAACAAATATAAACTCTTTTAACAAGAAATATTAAAAGATTATATAAGAACAAGAACTTAAAATTTTTAAGCAAATAGTTCAAACAAACCAAATATTAGTCATGCACTTACGCGGGTTCTCATAAACATAAGCAAAATATAACTCAAACAAACCAAATAAAGTTTCAGCCCGTCACACCTCAACGAGCTCATTATTGGAAGCTGATTGATAAAAACAAGTTCTTAATAATTGAAAAAGTCATACAAACATCCGACCATCATCGTCATCATCTGTCCGCCTTAACTGGAAACTTGCAGATCATCTACAGGAAATCATTGAAATCCAGAGCTTGTGACTGTCAGCATGTTGAACAGACCATCGACTCCTCCATACCCATCTGCCCCAAACATATCATACTCAAAGTTTGACTGCTGTGGTGCCGCTTCCGCCGCTGCCGGCTGAGCAATTTGTGGCGTCGGCTCAGGGTGGAGCATCTGGAGAGCTGGCGCCGGTTGAGCTGCAACTTGTTCTTGCACGGGCTGTGGCTGAGGCACATGGGTTAGTTCTTCTCCCGTGAAACTCTCAAGCAATAATCGCCAGTCAGTTGACTCATCAATCAACTGATAATCCAAATAATCACCTCCACTGATCGTCCAGTTGTTGTTATTATTATAACTGGTTTCTCCGATGACCAGACCCTTCTACTTCATAGGCAGCAAATTACTACCAGTACTACTATTTTTATTATTACTATCATAATTCATATTCTTATTCTTGTTATGGTCACTTCCCATATTCTCCAACGCATAGCCATAATTGAGAGAAGCAGCAACAGGACCAGATATCAGGTCTGAAAAGTTGACCAGGGTTTGAGTGACAGAAGACATTTGAGGAAAGTTAGCTGCAGCACGTGATGAACTTGGAAGTTGACGGACATCAAAATTTGCAGCTGGTGCTCCAAAGAGCCGGCCGACGGAGGTAGCAGCCTGCAAGTTCGCAGGATTGACGTTCTGCTCTTTGAAGATGTAATTGATATCGGGATGGAAAGTTAGTGCAATTCCTTTCTGCAGGCCGGGAAATTGATAAATGCCTCCTCTACCCATGTTGATCGGATTTGAAGAAAACTGGTACAAGCCCAGATTGGGTGAGAAATACAACCTTTCAGCTTGTTGCCTCTTCAAAGACAGTCGATATTTCTGCACCATAAATATATATGTATACGTTTTTGAAAGGCCATATAATATATATGGGTGCAGTGTGTCTATATGTATATTTAATTTTCAGATATATATGTATATATACGGATTTATACTTACGTAGAATAATTTCAAGAATATTCAAGAACATGTTCTACTAATATTATTTATAATTAGCTTGAAACATATATATATATATATATATATATATATATATATGATGAGACTTAATTACAAACCTGCAAATGGCTTGAAATGTGTTCCTTTCTTGACCCAGGTACGTTCATTTGCTGAAGAATATTCTTCGGAAAAGCTTCCGCAATTACGAAAGCAATGTCAATGGCGGAGATTGACATACATATGTATATGTATGTGTATTTATATATGAAGAAATTGCGTGTAGTGAGTACTAACCTTGTGCGCCGAGAAAATCAACGGCGTGCACGAATTTGTTGTGCAGCTCATCAGTCCAGATAATCCTGTTCTTCTTGACGATGGATGAATCAGAGTTATCATCTGAGCTTCTGCTGGAGGAGTTTTCAGGCTGTTTCTTTTTGGAGCTGCTATGGTTAGCATCATACTCCTCATCATCATTAGATTCAAGATTGATGCTATTGAAAATATGGAGAGATTCAGCGGCAGAGTTGCTCACTCCTTGATCAGAAGAAGAAGAACAGGAAGCCGATCGACTGAGCCCTATTTTCCTCAGGACAGAAAATTGCCAAAGGTTTTTTACATCATTCCATGTAATTGGCTTCACCAGATGAAATTCTGCCCCACATTGCAGGCTCCCCAACATGCCATTCTCATCTTGGTCCGTTGACATCACTATACATACATATATTTATTTATGATCAGGAAACAAACGTGTATGTATGTATGTATACATTGGTATAGATGTGGGTTGTGTTAAGATGAACTGAAGGCTAATACTGACCAATAACTGGAAGTTGAGAAACGCGAGTCATAGTTTCAAGAAATTGATATTTGTCCATGTCGGCCAACTGATCATCTGCGAGAACAAGGTCCAGAAGGTGTTCTCTCTCCCGCAATATGAAGAAAGAATCAGTAGCTCGTCTTGCAGTGATCACTGCAACTCATCATCTCAGTACTCAGAGTTAATTTTCTTAATTTTAATGTTAATCAAAACAATTAAAACCTCATTAAGAAAATCCCAAGTATTAGATATAAATAATATATAATTTAAAGTAATATTTAAAACGCAATATAACTAATAATAAATATAAAATTACATTATAAATATAATTAAATATTTATAATAAAGAAGGGCACGATAAGAAAAATACAAAAAGATATAACATTAAATAAATAATTCACATTCAATTATTTTTTGTATATAATTTTTTACTCACATATTTTATTAATTACAGGTCTTTATTTATTATAAATTAGATAAATTTACAGGTAACCTAACCCTATGCTCATCTTTAATTGTAAAATATGTTTGCCTTGCTTATGAATTTCTTAAGATGTAAGTTGCAAAGATATGGTTACTTTTTTTGTTTATGTTAATTATATAAATGTACACGATCTTATTTCATTGTGCTTGAATTATATATATCATGAATGTGCTATATGTAGCGCCCGGAGAAAATTGAAGAAGGAAAAAAAAAAAAAAAAAAAACGCTCGTGCCACGTCAGCAGACCCAGTCAGCAGGCCTGGCCAACCAGGACCTGCCACGTGGCAAAACCACGTCGACCGGGGACGGGCCACGTTGGCGATCCGCGTGCGCGCGATCGGACGGCCCAGATCAATCGCGCGCACGGACGGCCCAGATTTAATCGCACGGACGGCCCAGATTTAATCAAAAACGGACGGCCCAGATTAAAACAAAATAGACGGCTGAGATCAAAAGGCAAAAGGGTATAAATAAGACCCCCACACCAGACCCCAAACCCTAGCCGCCTGCCCTCGCCGGAGAAGACGAACCAGAAGCCGGCCGCCGCCACCCGCCGCCGCACCGGAGGGATTTCCGACCGCCGATCGAGGTAAATTTCATACCTCCGACTCGTTTTTTCACGCTGATTTCCCCAGTGGCCAAATCGGAGCCAAAATCCCGGCCGAAAGCCAGAGGCGCCGCCGCGCCCCTTCTCGATTTTTGCCTCCGATGAGGCCCTTCCCGGCCTCCGTTTAATGCAATTTTTATATCACCGTAATCACCATTCTTTTCTCTACAGCTTGATCGGAGCCGAATCACCAAAACACGAACTTCACCGGAGAGCCGCCGCACCTGAGAGCACCGCCGCCGGTAAGCTTCGGTTTTCCGTAAATTTTCGGCCCCCCGAGGGCCGTAGGGTTGTTTTATCGCAGGAACCAATGCGAGTGTGGCCGAATTCGGCCGGAGATGGCCGAAAACGGCCAACCCGAGGCAAACCGCCGCCGCTTGCGGCGGCGCCGTCGCCGGAGCACGGCAGAGCCGCCGTGCCGGAGTTGCGATATTGTTCGAAAGGGGCCCTGGGCCTAATTTGGGATTTTTTGGAACACGTGCAGGTACCAGTAGTGCGTTTCAGTTCCCCGAGAAAAATTCAGCAAAAATTAGGGACAGCCTGCAAGCGCACTGTGAAGCCGTGTTGTTCTTACTGGGCTAGTGTAGCTCACTCCTTATTTAACCATTTCAGATCAGGAAGACATGGTTCCCGAGCCCGTTCCGCAGGAGGACGACGAAGGGGATGCCTAGAGACTCTGTAGTCATACTCATAGTTTTATTTTCGAGTTTCTCTCTTAGTTAGTTTAATCTTTTATATTTTAAGTACGTTTTTGGTTTTTCGTGTAAGGGATGTTAACTGAAATTTTGATCTCGCTTCCGCATTTGATATATTTAAATACTCATTTCATTTTAATATTTCCGGGGCCGTTACAATACAGATCTACTTAAAAACTTTGTAACATATACATATATAAATAATGTATATCTTTATATCCACTTTCACGCATCATTTTTGAGACAACTGAGAGACATACAAGATCGTCATCCAATAACAAAACGTTAAAATTGTTAACTTTCATCCCATTTTGTTCATTTAAATATGGAGCAACGGCTCGATTCATGATGTACCTGTATATGATCTTTAAACTAAAAAAAAGTGTACATACATGTACAAATATATATACGTATAAATACACACATATAAAAGAGTTAGTACAATTAATTAAAAAAAATACAAAATGGAAGATTAAAAGAACTTAAAATGAATAGATGAAAATAAATTTTTCTACCATAAAAATTACTGAAGAAACATTTTTGTTAGAGAGTCATTGATGGAATAGCGGAGAGGGATTGCACCTAGTATTTATAGAAAAATTTAGTGGAAGATGGTATTTTAGATATATTCGGTAGAAATACAAGTTAAAGAAAAAAAATTATCATTGGTCAATAATGTTGGTAAAAGTTTACCTTCTTGAAAACTTCATAAATGAATTATGTAACTAACATGATTAATAATAAGTTATCCTATTTAAAAGATGAAAAATCTTAATCACATGATTTTGTTTTAATTAAGTTGCCATTTAAAAAATTTAGGAACTTAGCCAAAAATGTAGATAAATGTATGATTTGTAAAGCTAACAAGCAAGCTAGCACAAACCATATATGTATATAGGATATCAATTATATATTAATATTCCATTTAAATCACATATGAATGGTTATCATTTGCAGTGTCTTCTTTTTCTCCTTTTTTTTTTTTTTTTTCTCACAGGTTAATTTTATTTTTACTAAATAAAATATACATACTAATTATAGTATAAACTATGGTGTTTACAAATGATAGTAATATGAAATTTTACTATTTTAGTTAGTGTTCACTGTAATAATAGCCTTTATTATCACGGAATATAGTAAAAAATATAACATTATAATAATAAAAAATAAGTAATAAATTGTTTAATTTTATTATATAGAAAATAAATTTAATTAGAGAATTTCCTAAATTAAATAATTACCTTCTTCAATTATTGTTATGTACGGTTAAAGGAGGTAATTTATTCATTAATATGTAAATTTATTCCTTTAATTGTTGTAAATAAAAATTATTAATATATAAATGTAACTGTCAATTGAATCAATTTAATTGTTATAAATATAAAAATAAAATTTAAGATTTATTAATTATTTTATCAAACTTTTATTTTTCAGTAAGCGATTATCAATGATGACATGACTTTTAGATAATGATTTATTTTTAATTTGATAGTTTCACACAGTAATTTTTGGTAGGTCAAATAAAAAATGATAAAATTAGTTTAGCAGCTGTAAACTGCAAATATGGCATGTGATAAAATGTGGATAAGAATGGGGCAAAACTACGGCTAGGTGAAGATAGTTGTTTCTAGAAGCTAAGGTATAGAGTATATTTACATCACATTTTATTTAATTTTGAAATTGCATAATAATTTATCTGTTTTTAGATAGGAAGAAAATCTAATATACACATGGATATAGGATCTCGTTAGAATATCCTTCAAAATCCAAGATTAATTTATTAAAAATTAAAAAAATTATGTAAATTAATAATTAATAAAATAAATTTTAATAAATTTGAAATGCAATTAATAATTATATATTCTTTTAGGAGAAAATAAATGTATATTAATAAAAATGCAAAATATTAGGCAATTATACCTCAATACATTTATATAATAAGAATAAGATATTGTCCTCAAATTCACTTAATTTAATTCGTTAAAAATAATCTATTATAATTTATTTATCAAAGTATAAATTCAGTTCAAGTCATGTTTATATTAATAAAAAGGACAAGTGGGTTGAAACGGGTTTGTTATTATAAATTCTTTCTACACCCGACTTAGCACACAATGGAATACCCTAAATTAATTAATTTTAATATAATTAAAATTAATATATAAATATATTTTTATTTAGTTTTTTTTTTGAATTTTATTTTAATCAAAAAATGAAGAAAATTAATTGTATGATGAAATTAAAATTAATTTTGAAAAAAAGAGATGAAAATTTGGGTTCTGCGGATGTTTTTGAAAGAAAAATTAGAAACCGGTGGTCAAAATATAATTTAAAGAAATTATGCCATGTAGGACGCCCATTCAGCAGCCTTGACGAATCGGAGCACGCTGCGTGGCAAGAGACGCTGGTGTGGTGCCACGCTGGTGATCCGCGTGCCCGTGATCGGACGATCCAGATTCGTTCCTGCATGCACGGACAGTCCAGATTCACTTTCTATTTAAACGCGATCGGACGATTCAGATTAAATTGCTATAAACGACTCAGATTCACTTCCTATTTAATCGCGATCGGACGATACAGATTAAACGTGATGGATGATCCAGATTAAAAGAAGACGGATATAAATAACCATTTTCACACCAAACCCTAACCCTAGCCGCCGGGAAGGAAGCCAATCGCCACCACTGCCGCGCCGGAGCCACTTCCGATCGTCAAAAAAGGTAAAAAAAAATTTCATTTACTCGAAATTCGATTTTAAACACCTCTATGACTAAATCAGAGCAAAAGGACCGCCGGATTGGCCAAAAATCACGAGTAAAGCCTCGCGGCGTTGCCGCGAAAAATATAAAAAAGCCTCCGATGATGCCCTTTTGGATTCCTGTTTTGCGTAATTCTTCCACCATTATAATCTCTGTTTCCTTCTCTATAGGTTGATTGAAGTAAAACACCTAACCGCAAAGGTGAGTTGGCGGAGTTGTCGTACCGGAGAACCCCGCTGCCGGTGAGTTTCAATTTTTTTGATTTTTTCGGCCAACCGAGGCCCTAAACATGTTTTCTCACAGGAATTGATACAAAACCGGCTGAATTCGACCGAAAATAGTCA